ATTGAGAAAAAATGATATTGGTATTTCTAAACTCTTTTCCAATAATGATAATAATGTTCTGCATTTGTTGCACAGTAGAGTATTTTTCTCACCACAGTATCAAGCTTATTCAGAAAGGGATGGGTATTTAGTGACAGGATTGGGAACTTACCTCCTAGTGATGAAAGGACTTCCTGAGGAGGGAACTGAGTGGGAGAAGAGTGTGTCATTCATGCTGGTTACAGGTCTTGGAGGCCTGAAACAAAACACGATGCGTATGAAAAAGTTAAGGCAAAGTAACAAGTTCAAAGTTCCTACCATCCATGGAGGGAAAGGATGAGAATCAGAGTTGTCTGTAGTCCCAGATCCATAGGAAAGCTTATATATGTATTTAAAAGGTATAAAGTTGCAATTCCTTGAGCACACAGAGACATAAACACTAGGGAGGATCATGGGTAACAGGGGAATATTTTTCCATGAGCTATGAGCCTCGGTGCCTTCTTGAGTCATGTTTCTGAGCAGTTCTAGGATTCTGAAGGTTCTGTGTGCTCCTCATGATATGGTCCTCTATAATATGCTGCCCTGAAAGGACACACGCCAAAGCAAAATCACATCTGGTTTCATTTGTCCTCTATCTGAATGCAGATGCAATGAAGCAGAATCAAGACTCCTGTTTGTGGTACTTGGCAGACCCAGGTGAAAGGTTATGTGGTGTCAATCATGCTATAAGCTTCATTGGACTCTTAACAGTCCTGAGGGAAAACAGTGACCAGTGTTCCTCAGAACTGCCCATGGGCCTGTACACCACATGCATTGGGTCTGCCTTCCTCTGTTTTATCTCCATTTCATCTCATCATTGTCTTTATCGTATAAAAACACAGAATCCAAGTCCCTTATCTCATCTCCTAAACATTTTTGTCTTATTTTAGGTTAAATGTAAGATACTGAACACTAATTTAGAGCTCAGAAGATGAAGGATGTACTAAGGCATCATTCATAGTAAGAGGAAACTTATTCATTTTCCTATTGAGATGGGGTCTCATGTAGCCCAGGCTAGCCTCACACTCATTATGCTGCTGAAGTGATCTTGAACTTCTGATTCTCCTGCCTTGACCTCCTGAATGCTGGGATCAAGTGCATGTGCCCCGTTGCTGGGTTTATGTGGTGCTGGGAATCCAACTCAGGGTTTTGTGTATGCTAGGCAAGCACTCTACCCACTGAGTTATATTTCAAGCACCAAGAAGAAATGCTAGTTTTACTCTAATTCTACATTTGCAGTTGACAGTACAGAATATTTTGGAGATGAGACATTAGTTTCAGAGAGCTGATTAACAGCTAATGTAAATGGTTTACATTAATCCAAGTTAGTTGTTAATTTTTGCCTTTAACAGCAAAACGTGGACTCATTTATCCTGTTTGGTGTTAGGCACTGCAGGCCTTAAAATATCAGTGTTGGCTGTGAAAATTCACTGAAAGTTGTTCCTGGTAGCTGAAGCTGGACCACATTTCAAGATTTTGTCTGGCATGTCACTTCTTGGATGAGGTCAGAACAACAGATTCACGACCTCATTCACTCTGGATTTATCAACCAGGGTTCAGGAAACAATCTGAGAACTTCAGGTTATTTACCTAGGAAGCATCTTTGTGGTGGGGAGCAACATGAGGGTAGTTAAAAATAATTGTGCTTTAATGTGAATAACTTAATTTTATAAGGGGGTGATCAGTGTATCCAAATGTCCTCGTAATTAGGAAGGTAGGCACATTAGATTTACTATTTATTTATTTATTTATTTATTTATTTTGGTTTTTCTAGACAGAGTTTCTCTGTGTAGCTTTGGAGCCTATCCTGGCACTCGCTCTGGAGACCAGGCTGGCGCCTGCCTCTGCCTCCTGAGTGCTGGGATTAAAGGCGTGTGCCACCAATGCCCAGCTGGCACATTAGATTTTAAAACAGCAATTGGGATGAAATTCGTTCATTATAACTTACAAAAAGTTAAAATTGACCCCACATTTCTTGTTTTCTTTTCATAAAAGAAAAAAAGCTTTCCAATTTTGCTCTATGTCTAGGAGATGGAAAACAAATGAATTGAGAATGCTTTTTTAATTAACTAAGCCAGTTGTTTTTTAATTGAACCTGGTCACCGAAAAACTAAAATTGGGGTTTCTTAGCAAATTGCTTCATGTTTAAGGGTCACCAATCAATTGAACCAGGAGCAGCAAATAGCAGCTTTGAGAGAGACTGAAGTCCCTACCTTCCTCCATCACCAAATGGCCAAGTCTGCTTCCTCAGCATAAGCACCCCCTGGGAGATGTTAATGTGTTAATTCTTACTAAAATGAAGCAGCCCCACATGAACAACGAGTCTCAGAGGCATCGCACAGAGACTTTTCTGCATAGATCTTAGCAGAGAACGTATAAACACCTAACACTGACTTGGCATCCTCCTCCTAAGTGTAAAGGGCTCAGAGCCCAACTAGTTTTAAGCTAGCCTTATACAGCTCACTTGTTTTCCATCTCATAACTACTTATCATTACGATTGTCAATTTGTGTAAGTATGTGTGTGGGGTGTTCATCACTTACCAAGTATCACTTTTGGCAGCAGGGAAGTGAAACAGAATAGAAAATGTTAATCATGGCAACATTTACAAGCAATAGGATAGTTAAGCGCACATGCCACCACCTGTTCATTTCCATTGAAGAACTAATTCATGACTGGCAGTGTCATTTTGCTACACGTGCATAAAATCCCCTGGCTCTTGAAGGCAATAGCATTTTCTTTGTCATGTGATTCATTTCTATTTGCAAAGTTAGTAGCACCCCAACCTGATTTGTTGTTGTTATGTTGCTATTCTTGTTGTTGTTGTTGTTGTTGTTGTTGTTTTTTTTTTTTGAGATGGGATCTCCCTGTATATCTTAGGCTGGCCTTGAATTCACAGAGATCTACCTACCTCTGCCTCCTGAGTGCTGAGACTGAAAGTCTGTGACACCACACCGGGCTGTTTAAAAGTTCTAGTGATTCAGTCTCTCCTTATCTAAGCTTCTTGCAAAATGCTTATTTAGTTACACAGTCTTACTACCATCATGTTTGACATTTTCCATAGTTAAGAGCTGAGAGGATTTTCTAATTAATTTATTATGTATAATTAAGCACAAGCCATGTGTTTTAGAACGACTATTCTCTGCTCACAGCTGGATACACTTTTCAGACATTACCATCAGGCTTTAACACTAACACAGCAAGATGCGCTTGAAGAGGACAGTATTACATTCTAAACACACGGGCCTCCTACCACAGTCATGTTCCATATCACATGAAGACATCTTCTCACAAATATTCAATTTATGTGTTAGTCATTTGCAGATTAATATGCTTTTCATACTAACAAGCAACAAATGCTTTATTTTGAGTTTGCGCTGTATTTCTCAGTGCCCCAGCCTTTAGGACACTCAGCCCATGACACAACATGTCCATTGATGCTCCCGGCCCCCACCCACTGACTCTGCCTGTGAGTTTATTGTGTGCATAGGTGGTACACTGGGATATTTACATACTGGCAGATGTATATGAACATACATCCACACAATAAAAAGATGTGGCTTGTAATTAATGAAACAATTCATAAATTATTTCAGGATGGTCTTTGGTAGAGAATAAAAATAAAAAAAATTCATACTATTTATGTTTTTGTACTATGGCCCTAGTACTCTGTTTGAGATCTTTCTGCTTTTTAAAAAGATATTTTATTAATAAGTTTATTTTATGTGTGTGAGTGTTTGTCTAGATGTGTATAAGTATACCACATGCATGCCTGGTGCCTGGGGAGGCCAGAAGTGGGAATTGGGTCCCTTGAAATGGGAATTAGTTACAGATAGTTGTGAGCTGCTGGGTGGGTTCTGGGAGCCAAACTTGGTCTTCTGCAGTAGCAGTCAGTATTAGTAACTTCTGAGTCTTCTCTCTAGCCCCAGATATTTTTGTTTTAAGTCATATTTGGGAATAAGATATTAAAAGCATTAAGTGTGCAGGGAGGTATTAGTGTTTGGTATTTATTAAAGTATTCATTCTCTTATTTTCATTATATAATCCTCTATAAAAGGCTTGTGATGAGAGAACTTGCTACTAAATGTCATATATTTTATAAAGCACATTAAAATATGTATTCACATAGACACATACACATACATATTCAAATGTACACTCATGCACACACACATTCACATTTGTAAACACATATACACACATGCATACATATAAACACACACATATACACATACACAAGCATAACACATGTATACACACACACACACACACACACACACACACACACAAACATACACACAATCCCAAGTGCTGACAGTACAAGACCCTGGGCTGGGTAAGTATAGTGTGGCTCACTTTTCTGTGAGCAGCACCCTTACTCTGCAATACTTCAGTGCTCTCAGCATCAGGCCCTTGCCATTCACTCTCTGCCTCCATGACCAGCAGCTTGGAAGTGGGAGAAGTCAGTGGAAAGTGAGTCTCTGCAGAGTTCACACAGCACAGACTCATTCTACCTTGTGCTCCTTCATGAACAACTCAGATGTTTTGTCTCCAAGGGCAAGAGCAGACTTTAACTCAAAGCTCCTGGGCAAGTCATCACTATAAGCAGTTACTCCCTTGGGACACTCCTCTTGTTTGTATATTCCTGCTTTATTTATTGGACCATAATTTTAAAAAAGTATAAAGTAAGTTAGCCACAGTCTACAGGGTAGGCTTTATATTGGTTTTGTGGTTGTTTGGCCTATGCCAGCATTGTATTGCTTTTATACTTAAAATATTAGAACTTATGTGTGTGTGTGTGTGTGTGTGTGTGTGTGTGTGTGTGTGATGAAAACAAAAAGGGTGAAGGGCACCAGCAAGAAGGGGAACAAAGTGCAATGATATATATGTGATAAGTTTAAAATGAAACTCGTTTCTTTGTATGCTAACCAAAATAAAAGGAATAGAAGAATAAATAAAACTTGGTCCCTGACAAAGGATGTGCAGTTGTCTTGGTATGAATTTCCAGACATGTGTGAATAAAGGAGGACACATTTTAGTTTGGGGTCAGAGATACTCACACGATATGAGCCAAGTTGAGTGGCTTTTCAGGCTGATCAGGGAACATGGGATGCAAAGGTTCACGGCTTGAAGCACAGCTCAGGGACTTGCTTAATGCATTCGTTAGCTTCTTAGCAGGTGATTTCTAGAAAGAGAATAATAACAACTTTTATCTTACCCTTTATCAGATGAATTCAACATTTTTACTAATAGTTGCATATTCATTCACTCATTTCTTGATCGATTCATTTATTGAAGAACTCTGTTTGGAACACCTGCCCTCTAAGTCAGGAAGTTTGTTAGAGGAAACAAATGCAAGCTGGAACAAGCCATCAGGCTATCCACCCCTGCTCAAAGTCCCTGCAAGGTGCTATGCTGAAGGGAAGAAGTCCTTCTGTGGGAAAGCACATGTTGAGGTTTATGAGACGATCTTAGGGGATGGGAAGCTAATCCCTCATGGGAGGGATAACAACTGTAAAGGGAGGAAGGAGAGGAGAACTCATTCTAGAGAGGACAGTTTGAGGCCGCCAAGTTCCTGTTGAGTAGATAGATGTTAGTTCATGTCTCCTCAGGAACAAACACAATGTGTGTGTATATAGAAATATTTGGCGAGTTACCCTTTACATAAAGCCAACATGGTACATTTAAATATTATTTATACTACTTTGCATTCTTGTGATTGAACCATTTTAATCAGTTCAATTGGCTTGGCTAGTGGTAGAGTCAACAGCAACCAATCCAGGCACAAAACAGTAGATGTCGGAGAAATGGTGAGAACTGAACTTTGAGTTTAATTGAGGTAGTTCAGAAAACAGAGAGCCATGTAAAACAGTAAGCACACAGTGTTTACTCCACAGAGCAAGTGCCACAGCCTCCTGCCTCATGGGCACTCACAGGCCACGTTAGCACCAAGTTAACCACTCACAGTATGAAAAGATGATTTTAAGACCACAAATTTCCCTCTCCATTCCTTTGAAAAAAATATCTGAAACTGTACCAGTTTTTTGACCTCATATTACCATATTCCTGTCTAGTCATTCACTTGAAAGAAATTAGGGAATCTCAGTATTTTTTTTTATCAATTTGCACAGAAATAAAACAAAGTGAAAATTAGTAAGACACATCTTTTACAGTAAAATAAGTGATCTAGAGCTGCCTGACTTTCAGTTCATTAGATCAGCATTGACCTGTCTATATCCTGAGAAGAAGCATAGTTTGGTTCTTCTAGTATTTTAAGTCTGAGAAAGCCATACATGGCTCAGGTACAAACAGTTAGAGATCCCAGTAGGATGTGATATGGTAGGGAAGGGGGAAGGAATGTTGGAACAGAAGATAAGTTTGCCTTAATTCCATCATCATCTGTTCTGGTTAGCTTTTTTGTTTATCAACTTGACACAAGTCAGGGTCATCAGGCAAGAGGGAACCACAGCCAAGAACATGCCTCCATCAGATCATCCTATTGTCCAGTGTGTGGGGCATTTTCTTGATTAACAATTTATGTGGGAGGGTCCAGCCCTCTGTGGAGAATGTTGTCCTGTGGAGGTGGACCTGGGTGCTATAAGAAAGCATGTTGAGTAATCCATATAAGCAAGACAATAAACAAGGTTCCTCCATGGCCTTTGCTTCAGTTCCCGCCTCTAGGTTCCTACTGAAGTTCTTTCCCTGACTTCCCTCAGTGATGATTTGTGACCTGGGAGTTTCTTCCAGGAGTGGCCTTTTGTATTGGTCTCCATCACAGCAACAGAGAAACTTAACCAATGTACCGTAACATTCATGCATCCAGTTTCAAACACTGCTAGACCTCACTTACCCATGATGTATACTCTTTCATTTGGTGCTGGTTGCTATGGGAACCTCCTGCATGGCCCCTCCAGAAACAGTCCTGGCAAAGCTGGTAGTTGTGACATTGTTGGCATCGGTAGCGAAATCCCATCATGCTCTCACTATGACAGTAGGAACACTCAACTGGATGGAAGACTAGGAAGGAAGTAAATGAGGAAAACACTAGGAAAAGCGTGAACTAAACTAAAGAAAAACACAACTTACAAGGAATTCTATTTTTCAGCTGTGTACTGTGGTGATTTCAGACCATGGTCCATTTTGATCCAGTTAATTCCTGGAACTATACTTTTCAAGCATGTGTGTGGGAGGGGAGTAGGTATGAAATAGGATGAAGAATAAGTGTCCTCTGGCAACACAAATCTCTGTAATGCCTTTTGTTCTTCTGACCCCTATTTCTTAAGTCATATGAATGTAAATTATCCAGACTGACTAGTCTTTTCCACACACCATCTCCCAGAGACCAGCAGAGGTCATGAAGACACAGAAGCACAATGGATGAATACAGTTAAGTATTCAGCAGGCAAGGGGCAAATGTTAATGAAATAGAAAATGGAGGAAAAAAGAAAAAGAAATGAAATAGGGGAATAATAAAACTAGATGAGAGATTTGAGTTCCTTAAAAAAATGGAGTAGCTAATGGGCTTACTTAATGAGTGATATTGCCTTTATCTAACATACATACACTTTTCTGGGGGCAGAAGGCTAGGTCCCCAAAAGATAAATTATTTGAACACAGTTCTGACTTAGACTGTTTGAGAGACACCTCACTTATCTTGCCAGGAAATTCGAACTGCCAAGATGGCCATGTCAGATCTTGGAGATCTGAAACTAATATATAATCAGATCCAAATTGTCCTGTTACCATGAATTAAAGATACCAAAACAGCAGCTGCAGCAACAGTTGCAACAATAACAATAATTCCTGTTTGTTTTTAAAGTTATCTGATTAGCTGGGTAAGAAATGTATTATAGATGAAAGTAAACAAGATATGAAGTAAAGTGTGAGAAAAGACCCATGATGCATTCCAGATATGCTGCTGTCTAAGGGACAGCCCCTCTCCTGGCACCCAGGAAAGCTAAGGACTGAGTTAAGCCTGGGTAGAACTGCCTTGGACAGATCCTAAGAAGCAGATCTTCTGCGATAGGAAACACACAGATGTCAGAGCTGAAACTATAGCATTGGGATTGGTCCATGATGCCTTCTGGGATACTGATCAGAGCTCTGAACCCATCCTGTGTCACAGTAGGCACTTACGGGCTCTTGGCTCTTGCATCCATATGATTCTTAGTAATTAAAGAGGAACTAATAAACTCATTCATTAAATTTTGTCCAAAACCAAAATAGAATAAACTTATAACCCTGAGAGACAACAAAGTCAGATGATAAATATTCCAAATGAGAATTTAAAACAAAGCCAACTTTATCCCTAAAGCTTATTAAAGCAACACATAGACATGGGATATATTATTTTTTATTCAATTTGACAATAAAACTACAAACATTAGATAGAGGTTTTAGTCTGATCTATGTGTAAATTTCTTTAAACCTGCCCTAGGTTGTATTTTATATTTAAACTTGAGTATGTCAATGACAAACAGTTCTTATATTAGAAATTTTTGCTAATTTTGAAAAGAAACATGCAGCGAAGTTTACATTACTCTTGTCTTTAACAATATATACTTTATGGACATGTATAACCTTGAACACGTGCCTTAAGGTGAGCAAGTTGCTACCATTTATTGCTTTCATTTATTTCCTTGCCATTTCTTTCACCTATTCCTGGCTGATCTCTTAAGAAAAAATGGTCAGTGTCATAGATACCAACATGGGAAATTTACATCTAAGACACATCTTAGAAAATGTTTTTTGTTTAAATTTTTTAAATGTTTTATTTTCTTTATTTTTATATTGTGTGCATGTATGTCTGAGTGAGGGTGTCAGGTTGCATGGAACTGAGGTTACAGACAGCTGCAAGCTGTCGTGTGGGTGCTGGGAGTTGAACTCAAGTCCTCTGGAAGAGCAGGTTTTACCCCTGAACCATCTCTCCAGTTCCCCAAAAATGTCCTTTATTGGGATCTTTGTATTGAACACAGATAGCTTGTAATTATCTGTTGCAATGCAATTGAGGTTTATTTATTTATTTATTGTAACATATAACATTTGGTAGGCCAGGAGGTAGGTTGGTTAAGTGATCCACTAAACAAATTTCCCTAAAACTACACGAACTTCATAACTATGAACTTGGTGGGTCCACGTTGACCAATTTAAGTACCATCTTTTGGCTCAGCAGTAACTACTCACCATTTTCTACATTCGCCAGTCGATGCAGAAGAGGCAGCCAGACCAGGCACTGTGGAGGAGGGTCTGACATGAGCGTATCCAAGAAGCCCTTTAATGTGACCTTTTTCTGCATCAGAAGAAAAACCACAAAAGTGTAGGTCAGAGAATAATCTGAACTCTTGGGCTAGCCACATGTCACTTGACAAAGAAACAAAGCATCCAATTAACTCCTTATCTAGGGAGACACAGAACTTGCCAAAGGGCACGGTTGCACTTGTTTACAACCAAGGACATCCACTGCTTTTTGTGCCTAATTGTCATGAGACCATATCATCTGCACGAGTCTAGTCAGGGGACAATCAGAGGAGTCTGTGCCTCTGTCTCAGAGATGAAGGGTGTTGTGAAAACAAGGAAAGGCAAAGAGCTGGAATCTACACTAACTCAGAAGTCCTCATGACACAGACTGTATGTTGTTCCCTTCGGGTTGGGCTGTTTGTGAATGATGCATTTCCTCTATTGCTTACACACTGAATATTTAATTGCTAATGTGAACAGTTCCACTGGAATTCTGAAATAGCAGGAATTGTGTGGTCAAATGTTAAAATTATTTTATTTGAAAATTTGAACCAGGATATCAAGGTGGATAGGACCATAATAGTTTTGGTAACAGTCCCAAAGAGGTGTAGTGTTTTTAAGGCCCATATTGTGGGATAAACCTTGCATCTCACTAATAACAGATTCTGGATTGATGTTTTTCTGTCAACTTTGTGGCTTCACATGAATCTACTGATGTTTTAATTATTGTCTGTGGTCCCACAGCCCCCTCAGTCAGTGCACTGCTGGCCACTCTGGCCAAGGCCTGGAGGGGCCTCTGGTCTCTAGGCCCTGGCTCTGCTGTTGCTGCTATATGTAGGTTTAAATTAAGTCTCTATTATTCTAGTTATCAATAAAACTCAGAAGTCAAAGGCTGGGGTGAAAACTTGCTAGCTCAGAGAGGCTTAGTAGCAACTAGTTGACCTTACTTATTTGCTGGAGATATCTCTCTTCCCTTGTCCTAGAACCCAGAGGAAGCCCAAACTCTCCTCCCCTCCCTTTCCTTCCAGTGTGTCTTCTTTCTCCAAATTGCTGGCTTCTTTATGGCCAATTCTGTCTGTCAGTCACTGGCATTGCCCCCTATTGGACAGTCTCAGGAGTGCCATATAAAATATCCCACATCACTGGATCATTGGTCAGGAGACAAGATTTTTAAAAGATTTCAGAATTTATATGTCTAAAAGATAATTTTCCTTAAAAGCTATTACTCTGCATTGTATGGACTTTTCCCCCAGTGAAATATTTCAAACACACTTGGAATTTCAGTCATTTATTTATTTATTTCTTATGTGTATGGGTGCTTTGACTATGTGTATGTCTGTGTGCATACATATGAGTGCCTGGTGCCCATTGAGGCTAGAAGAGGGAGCCAGATCTCCTGGGACCACAGTTGCAGACAGTTGGAAGCCTCCATGTGGGTGTTGGGAATTGTGCTGGGAATTGAACACAGATCCTCTGCAAGAGTAGTCAGTGCTCTTAACCACTAAGCCATCTCTCTAGTCATCTCCTCCTTGCTCCTGTATTTTAGCCTTTTAAATTGTGGATATAAAAACATTAAATTAAAAATAAAGTGTTTGTGTATGTGCCACTTCCTAAAATTTTCAGATGACCTTATCCACTTTGGTTACTTAATCATATTGGCTAAATTATAATTGATCCTGAATTTTCCAAGAGATTGCTGTAACTTGGATGTGTATAAATTTCTCATCATTAATGCTCAGCATAATTTGAAAGGAGCTTTTAGCATGAGAATATTTTATTTAATAGTTTTTAAACATACAAGTCATTTTATGTTTGAAGGTCAGGTGTAGAAAGACAAACACTATGTGTTTTCACTCCTGTAGAAGCTAAAATGCTCATCCCAGAGAGTAAAAGAGGCTGGAAGGGGAGGAACAGAAGGAGAGGGAGGAAGAGGGATGGAGAAACAATGGACAATGGGTACCAGAATGCAGCTAGGAGAAATACCAAATCCAAATTGAAGTCACTGAGAGAAAAACTGTACTAACTCAGGGCAGAGCGGAGGTGGAGGAATGTTCAGGAGCAGCTAAGCCCTGAATGTAGGAGCTGGGACTGTGATGATGACATCAGGGCTTCCTTTGCCTAGATAGCACAGGAGCAGAGTTAGTATCTAATGCAGCCTGCAGTGCATGTCTTTACTCATCAGGAGGTTAGTTAGATTTCTACAGATGTATGATAGGAGTGACACTTGATGCTGTTTCAACTTTGCAGATGGCCAAGTAAATGCAGAATGAGGATGTCACTATCTGGGTGTACAGTGTGGTTTTCCAGTAGCTGCTGTGCACAATTATTTTCCCTTAAACTTCATTTAATGTTTTAATTAAACAGACCACTTAAGAAAGCATACCTGGTTAGTTTAAACTATATGGCTGTAAATGAACATTTTCTGCATGAATTTAGAAATTACTGCTATATTTTATTGGGGAATGAATGTATGGTCTTTCCAAAGA